TAAAGCGCGACCCGTTAGCCTCAGGTTTTGGTTTTATGGGGTGAGAAGCGTGAGGCGGGTGTGATCTCACGGAAATAGGGGAGTGCGGTGGGAAGATGTGTATTTTCCCTCAGGGTGCCCACACGCGTGAGGCTGGCCTGGTGCCTGAGGTCAGGCTGAGCCCGCACTCGCCTCTGGCGCTGGTTTCTGCCTCGATCCCTTCTCCTTCAGAGCAGGGTCCCCGCCAGATGCAGCAGACAGTGAATGATCCGCTGAGCGCCAGCTACAGCTGCTTACCCAGCTCCTGACTAGCGCCTCTCATCTCACCCTGTCCTTTCACTGTCTTAAATGCTTCTGGCCTCTTAAAATCGATTTGTGTGGGTGTCTTTTCAATCTAATGGCAATCCTGTTGTATCCTAGTAACCCCCATGATAAAAGAACTTTCTCTATAAGCTGTGGGGGGTTTACCTTAACACAATTCTTTGACTTGAGATTTTTACTCTGAAACATTTCTTTGACTTGATGCTTTTACCCTTCTTTTTCCTTTTCAGAAACACTTGCATAGTGTTCTCTGTGTGCAGCTGGATGCAAAGGTTTAAACAGACATTTCAGCTTTCCTTTTATGGAGTAGGTGGTAGTTACAGCTGATTCAGATGGATAGTGGGGATTACAAGTGTGAGGGATTTGTAGTGTCTCTCCATCACTCTTCTTCCCAGAAATATGCAGCTCTTCTCAAAAAGATGGGGGGAAAAATCCCAAACACAGGGATTGTTTATTTTGATCAGAGGGACTCCTCTTAATGAAATACATATTTGGAAGAGCCCCGGGGCCTTCCAAGAAGGGAGATTTCCCAGTCCTTGCTCCCTTCTGGTGACCCAGCACACCCAGACCTTGTGTCCCTTACAGCAGAGGTTTATTCTGAGACCTCTGCTTCCTGCAGTGTGAATATCCTTGCTTAGAGGGGCAGTGCTGGATTTTTAAATCGTGTTTAGCCTACTGGAAAGGTCTCCAGGCTCTGTAGGATTAAACCTGAGCCGTGCAGGAGTGGTGTGAACAGCTCTGCAGGAAGCTCTGGGCTGGGTTGGCTGAGGTGCTGAATACTCTTTCATCACCCTTTAAAAGCTTTTTTTCAGAGTTGGAGGGAAAGGGGAGAAGCAGCAGGAAATACTGAAAGAATACATTTAGCAGACTTCGGATCAAAGCAGATTTGCACATTCCTGGGAATGTTCAGTTTCTAGATGTAAGGCTGATTTATAGCTGAAGGTGCAGCAGAGCCGTGTGATTTCCCTGTGGAATGTGTGAAATACCTGCACAGGGACAAGAGCTTCAGGCACTTCAGATCAGGTTGTGTTGATGTGAATCAGAGCCTTCCTCAGGTGTCGAAGCTCTGTGAAACTACAGTTTCAATCTTGCCAAATCAGTCACAGAAAGACAGGGATCAGGTTTGCTGCAAACACAGATCATGAAGCAACGCTGACTGTGGGAAAATGGCACCGACAGTTGAAACTTTGAGCTTCCTGCCTTTGGCAGAGGACAGAAGTGCTCCTTGCAGTTTCTGTTTAATTATCTACATACCTGCCCTGGGAGAATTGTCATTGGTCTTGTTTTCTCACAGCCTGAGCAATGAGAGAGTGGAGTTGCCATCACTTCTCACTGTTTACTCCAGGTGATGGGCATGTCCATTCTCTGAAACAAAAAATTAGGGGTTTAGGGTAGAGAGGCTGGAGAGGGACTTTGGATAAGGGCATGGGGTGACAGGACAAGGGGTGATGGCTTTGCACTGCACAGGGCAGGGTTAGATACTGGAAAGTTCTTGGCTGAGGCCCTGGCACAGGGTTCCCAGAGATGCTGTGGGTACCCCATCCTGCCAGTGTTCCAGGCCAGGCTGGATGGGGCTTGGAGCAGCCTGGGATAGTGGAAGGTGTCCCTGCCCTGGCAGGAGGGTGGAATGAGATGATCTTGAAGGTCCCTTCCATCCCAAACCAGTCTGTGATTCTGTGACCATCTGAATAAAACCTGGTTCCCTGTTACCACCATATGTTGCAGGCTGTCCTTCAGAATAACATGTGTGACCTACCTGCCCATGAGGAATTCTTGCATCTTACATGCCAGAATCATCTGTGTCCTTGGCCTCCAGTCTCTGAACTGGCTCCCCGTGCAGGGATAAAGTGTGGTGTCAGGAGGCAGATGTCACATCCCTGTGCTGCTAGGAGGGGCTGTAGGGATGGTTCACTCTTCTGAGAGCTCCCTGATGCTATTTTTAGTTGCTTCATTTTCTTTCTGTTGTAGAAATAATTGTTGCTGTCTCTTTGTTCATGTTCAGGCAGCTTGTGTAACCCTTCCCTTCCCCCTGCTGAGAGACTGCAATTGCTAGAGCTCTCTAAAACATGAATGTCTTGCCCAAAACTTGGCAAAGCATAATAGAAGATTAATTCTAAGTAGTCCTTGCTAAAGGACTAAAAGAATTTTTTTTCCCAAAGTGATTGCACTTCAGTTGCTCATTTTTCTTCCACAAGTGGAATTAAGCTAAGGAACTTGTTCTTGCCAACACGTGATATTAGTTTGCATTGTCATCTGTGATAACAGGTCTTAGATAACATGGAAATTAAGGGAAAAGGAGACTAGGCTTCAGTCTTCTAGGAAACCTGCAGGAATGCTTTCAAGCCTTAACTTGTTCAGTGTGTTGGATTAGGAATGTGAGTCTTCCTTGAGGATGCTTGTTTAAATTCTTAGATCCATGGCTGTTAACTTTTTTCCTTTTTCTTTGTCTGTTGCATTCCATTTTCATTGTTCTGTGTTTTTCTTACATTTAATTCACTACAGTAACCACGACATTTGCTGTAGTTGAGGTGTTTGATGCAGCTACACAGAAAGCAGGCCCTGCACCTTGTGCTGCATCTGTTCAGTGACTGCCAGTTTATATTTGCCTTTTTTCCTCACTTTTTACAAATCACATCTGAAGTCACTGAAACTCTAAGGCTAGAAAGTGTTACGACTTTGCTTCTTCCCCAGCTCCTGCCCTAGCTTATTCAGTAAGCTTGACAGCACTTATAAAAATAAATAAGGTATTCTGTAAGTCACTTCAGCTGTGTGAAATGCCCTAAAAGTCTTTAAAGGACAGCAGTTAGCAGGTGGCTCTGGTAAGGTTTCATACTGGGAATTATCTTGGATGGTTTTTTAACTGAATACATTCCCAACAGGTAACTTCCCTTTGAGTGAATGGCTTAGGAGTTGCTAGTAAAGTTGTATTTAAAGACACTTTAAGGATGCACAATATTCCATTCTGATGTAAAATGTTGCAGTTCATATTTATGTTTTTTTATTTAAAACTCCACTTTTGTTTTCACCTTTAGGTGACTAAGTCACAGGTGGTGGAACATGGCTGGACAAATATCAGAGTCTGATCAGATCAAGCAGGTGAGATGCTGCATTTGGGAGGGCTGGCTTTGAAAGTCCCGTGCTGCTCTGTCACAGGGAGTGGAAGGTGTAGTGCACAGGGAAGGACAAGAACTCTGAGTTACCTGAGTTAACACAACTAAAAGTTCAGCAGGTGACCATTGACAAACAGCATGTTTTGTATATGAGCAGCATTTGGTGCTGAAATCTTCTGACTGAGAGTAAATTTTTCTAGTGACTTGTCCTTCACTTTTTCTTATACCATGCAGCTCTATGTAAGAAAAATAAACACAGGTTTTTTTTCCCCTAATATCCATTGTCCATTTTTTATTTACAGTTCAAGGAGTTTCTTGGCACATACAATAAACTTACAGAAAACTGCTTCGTGGATTGCATAACGGATTTCACTAGCAGAGATGTGAAACCAGAAGAGGTAGGTGATGGCTTCTAATGACCCTTTGGTAGAATTGCTGTGCAGCATTCCAATTTCAGAAGCAACTTAGAGAGTTTTGATCTGTAAATTAAGATCCAAAGCCAGGCAGCAGCCTTCAGTGGAGTGTGGGTGTCTGGCATGGTGCTTCCAAGTGAGTGTCTGATCCCAGACCAGCTTGGACAGGGCTTGGAGCAGCCTGGGACAGTGGAATGTGTCCCTGCCCATGGCAGGAGCTGGAAGTGGATGCTCTTTAGGGTTCCTTCCAGCAAAACCATTCTAGAACTGGTTATCACACACAGAATCTGCCCAGTCCCCACTGAATATTGGCTGCTCCTTGCAATTCCATGTGTTTCATTCCCTGAGCTGTCAGTGGAGGTTCTTGTGCTTTAACTTCTCATGGATGGTAACTCCATGGACATGGAAGCTGCCCACCTACAGCCTCCATCTCATTCTTTGAGGAATCCTGCTGAAATATTTGTTTACCTGCCCACGTTCCTGCTTTGTGGGAACACAGCCCTGGCTTTAAATCCACTTCTCTGCACTGCAGGGAGCTCCCTCACGTCGTCATCTGCAGAAAGATTAAGTTCTCCATATGAGCAGTTGCATGGTTTTGCTTCTCCTTGCCGGCTAAAAGACTGTTTCAGAGCCTAATCATTTTGTTGGTTAAAAATCTAATAACCCGTGCTTAACTCTGCTGGGAGGAAAAAAAACCAAAACAACTAAAATTTTAAATTAACCATTGTTTTGGATCCTTTTCTGCCTCCTTGGAGTTCAGCTTCTCACTGCAGGCAAAACTCATGTCTCCTTTCAGCTTTGGGTCTGCTGCCCTGAACAGAGCTCTCTTAGCTTCCCAAGACAGATTTCTTCTTTCTCTAATCTTCTCTGGATCTGCTTTAGTGGAATTCTATTACAGGTTATAATTACTCTGGATTAAAGATTACATAGGTCCAAAAAACATTCTTAGATTCTTGGAACAGCCTGGACTAGGGGAGGTGTCCCTGCCATGGGAGGAGGTTGGAATGAGATAATATTTAAAGTCCATCCCAAGCCAAACCATTTTCTGATTGGGACCTGCCTTTTTTCTGTTAACAGTGGAACTAAAAAGGAACTTTCTTATGGGAAGTTCTGCCCATATTGCCCATTATGGGGTTTCCTGCAGAGCACCTGTCTCTGGAAACAGGACACTTGTCTAGATGGACGCTGCTATGGAAATTCCCATGTTCCTCTTGAGAGTTGTAGTTTCTTATCAAATAATTGAGATCAAAACCTCCACACATCCCGTTTGGGATCCTGCACTTGAAAAAACCCAACTTCTGATCTCTTTCCTCGCCCAAGTCCCAGTGCAAGTCTGGACTCTGCAGCAGCGTGTCGCACACGCCGCTCCCTCTGGCAGCGAGGCTTGGGGCAGTTCCAGAAGTTGTTTCCTAGGGAGACTCCACTCCTGCTCAGCAGGTTTGGCTGTAGCTGGTGCCAGGCTGAGGACAGAGCAGGGCAGGTGCTGGGTGGTGTGTGGAGCTCGCTGGGGTTTTGTCTGGTTCATTCCATCCCTTCTGCTTTTCACATCCCTCTGTCCTGAGCAGAACCAAAGCAATGTCTGCGTTCCTGGGCAAAGGGATTGGCTTTCCTTTCTACCCAGATTTGTTACCTTTGCAGTGATAGCAAGGTTTTGAGCTGTGGCACAGAGTATCCAGTTAGTAGGACTGTAGCTCAGAAATAATCTCACAACTCTTTCTACACTTTAAATTTGAAAAATACTGTGGATGGAATAGGCTCTGGTGTTTGTTTCTTTATTTATGTCCCAGTCCAGCTGACTGATGTACTCTGGTGGCAAGGCAGGTACCAGAAGGCTGATAGAGCCAATGGGAACAAGAGTAAAAAAGGGTTAAACTGAGTTAGCAGAGAGCAGATCATATTTGGCTGTCAAAGCCAGTATGTGTTTGTAAGCAGAATTAAAACAAAACTTAGTAATTTAATAATTTATTATTAATTTCAAACTATGTAGTTCAGTTCCACAAGAGGAGCCCAGGGACAGAAGGATGGTATCTGCTAGGTCCAGGGCATTTTCCATGGAGACTTCATTTTGAGAATGAATATTAGTAAATGTTTCAGGCATACCAGAAAAACTCAACTTTGCATTTTCTACTGCCCTTATCTTGATAATACGAGATGTGCTCATCTGTTTATCCCTGTCTGTGGTGGTAATCTGGGTCCTGGTTGGGGATGTGTTTGACTCACTGTCTGAAGCCCTGTGTTTTCCCTCTTGTTGTAGATAACTTGCTCAGACAACTGCCTGCAGAAGTATCTAAAGATGACCCAGAGGATCTCCATGAGATTCCAGGAGTACCACATCCAGCAGAACGAGGCTCTGGCAGCCAAGGCAGGACTGCTCAGCCAACCTCGTTAGAGCAGAGCACTGTGCTCAGACTTAAGCTGTGCCAGTGTTCCCTGGGCAAGAACACATTGGGGGATTCCTACTGTCAGGATGTGTGTCCAGCAGCTCAGAGCAGAGCTGTGGGGACTGCTCAGGCAGTGGGAGCAGAAGGGTTAAACAGGAGCTCAGTCCTGCTGGCCTGGCTGTGGAGTTTGTTTCCACAAGGAAATGATGCAGATACAACTTTTCCCAGGGCCCACAGACTGGTGTCTGAATTTCAGGGGTGGTGGGAGGGCTCACCTGCCTTTTGCTGAGACTGGTTGAGATGAATCAATGTAATGTGGGGAATAGTTTTATATTTAATTCAAATAAAATCAACGGGAGCCATATACATGTGTATATGTGTATGTGTACATGTTCTTTCCAAAGAGCCATTTCTGGGACATTTGAAAGCAGTGTTTTGTTTGCTGGGGGCTTTTTGCTCAGCTGCTCCAGGGCTCTGTTCGTTCACTGCTGCTTTAGGAGCTGAGAGATGTCAGAGGGAGCTCAGGCAGGGGTGCCCCAGGTTATCTTTGGGTCATTTACAGGGGACATGGGGCAGTAGCAGCACTTGTGCCTGAGGCAGCTCCTGTGCACCCTTTGTTTCCCTCAGGGTCCTCCCAGCCCGGCTTCCTGGCCTGACACACTCCAAGCACGGAGCTTGCTGCAGCTTTCACAGAATCACAGAATGGCCAGGTTGGAAGAGACCTTAAAGATAGAGTCCAACCCAATCCCCAACACCGGAACTAAACCAAGGCATTGAGTGCCACATGCAGTCTTTTTTTAAACACCACCTTTCTCCCGTGAATGCCAGCAGGAAATTCAGGCTCTGCACAGCACAGTCTGTCCTGCTGCTGCACGAACCAAGAGAGGTTTGGAAGGCAGCTGGACTGGGCTAGGAAACAGAGCAGTGCTTTGGAAGGATTCTGACAGCTGAAACCCTGCAGTCAGGGCATTAGTGCAGCACAATGACAGTCAACAGGCACCCTGTGCTTCAGTTCTCACTCATAAAATACAGGAACAATGGGAACTGAACATCGGGAACACCAATTTTGAGATTCCAGGTGATGAGAAGTGAACCAAAGCTATTTCATGTCAGCTGCCAGGTTCTGTTATTTATAGAGGCAACAGCAAGGAACAGAAAGAGCAGGAGGATTTTTTTGTTGTTACCTTCTCTGCCTTTTTATTTCCAGCAGCAGCTTGAATGATTAACTCAGCTGTCCAGGCTGTGGATTCCTGGCCCCTGAGGGCAGCACATGCCCCTGCCACTTGCAGCAGACAGACACTGCTGTGCTGCAGCTCTCCCTGGAACCCTGCTCCTGTGCTTGCAGAGGTGGAAGGAGCCAGTGTGAGCCTCCAGTCTCACATCCCTGTGCTGGTACTCGCTCTATCACAGCCCCTTCCTCCTTTGCCTGTGCCTTGTTACCGTGGAGATGATGAGAGCTCACTCTGAAACAGTGAAGGCTAAAAGCCAGCCCAAATGAGGCAGCAAGTCTGCAATGTCCTGTTTTTGAAAAGGAATATCAGGCTAAAACTGTCCAGATTGCTTGCCACAAATGTTGCAGCCAACTTAGAATCAATACATGCCTAGTTAAGACTGAAGGCTGTCCTTGAAGCAGTCTCTTTTTGTTAAACATTTGAAAGTAATCCATGATTGAGATTTTCCACTGGATCTTCATGGGCAAAGAGGTGCTCAGAAAAGTGCCTGAAGAGTTTAACTGATGGAAGTGGAGGATTTTCATGTCTTCTGAACAAAGCACATTGGGGATGAAGTGAGGGTTTTTCTCTCATTTCAGTATTTGGAGCTAGGAAAATATTTAAATATTAGGACAGATTTCCTTGAAAGAAGGTTAAGCAAGTTTTAGAGGGACTTAGTTAATAAATTACCCCCTTTCAGGTTTGGATAACCTGAAAGAGTTTTGTCAAAGCTCTGTTTCTCTACAAAAGTCTTGTGGTCTTTCACATCCAGGTGACAGGTTGCATACAGACAATACAAATATATTTGAGCTTGGAAATAAAAGCATCCATGTAACTAAAGCATCCAGGTGATAAAAACGGTTTTACTCTGGATCCTAATAGAGACAACAGCATTTTATTAAATGCCATTAAGTGGTGTAAAGAGGAGGTGAATCACCTTGCTGAGGCACAATAGCTGCAGGAATGGATCCCACTCTGATAGAAGAAGGAGCAAAGGGTGAAAAATGGGAAGTTGCTGAGGAAGGAGTAGTGGGAAAGCTGTGGAAAAAGTGAGCCAAAGTGGAGGTGGGTAGGGAGGGAGCAGGAGGGCAGCCTGCCAAAAACCAGCTCAAGGAAACTGAGCTGGTAAACAGACACTCATTTGGGGGAGATGCTCACTGCAGCAGCAGGGAGGGAACACGGATCCTTCCTGCTGCAAACACAATTCCTCCTCAGCCCACACACACCAGAACCATTTCAGCAGCAAGGGTCAGATGAGAGCCTTGCTCTGGAGTGCCCTGGACAGCACAGAGCTGGCACAGCCATCAGATCAATCAGCTGGAAGATTATAATAGAGGCTCCTTGAATTCTCTCCAGGAAAACAGCAAAGCCCCAATTTATGTAATCCCCTGCTGAGAGCTTCAACTGCCGAGCTCTGTTGGAAGGCAAGAAAAGGAGCGACTGCAGAGCTGTCAGGGAGTGTGGGTGAAACACTGAGTGTGGCTGGAGCTTCAGAGCAAGGAGGCAAATCCTGTGTGCTCTGACATTCCCCACTCTGGGAACTGGAGCTTAGCAACAGCTCTTGTTTCAGCATCTTCTCTTAGCTAGTTGGGAAGTCAGCACATGGCATTTGAAGAATCCAGTTCAAACCTTAAGAAGTCCATTAAGCTCAGCTCCAAAATTTGTTGAATGAGTCTGGCCCAAACTCTAAAAGCTGTAAAAGTAACTAAAGCCTCTTACACCTGAACCTGCATCAAGCCTGCACCTTGGATTTCCAAAGGATAGTGCTAAAAGAACTCAAAAAGTCACATTCTCCTTCATATTGGAGGGTTTTTAAAATTATGTTTTACCTTAACTTCACACTCCTTTGTGTTTTGGTGTCAGGGAGCAGCAGGTAAAATGTGCATGTTAGGTAAAATGTACGTTACAGTTTTACAGCAACAACTGGAATTAGATCAGGGGAAGTACATTAGTGACTGTTTCTGCAGATTAAACTGTTGCTCTCTTACTGGCCGTATTGCACCAAAAGGCACAGGGAGGTGGCTGGGTCACACCAGAAGGCACTTGGAGGATGGATCCTGGGCACCAGGGAAAGGGCAGGGTCACCCTTGGAGCACTCAGAGACCACAGAGACTGCTGGGGCACGAGGAGATACTCCTGGGGTTGAAGTAGATGATCTGTGAGAGTCACTTCCAATCCAAACTGGTTTTTGATTCTCCAGAGACATAAGAAAATGTCTTATGGAAGATCTGGAAGAAAAGACAATACATTTCTCTGCTTGCCTGCACATCCCCAGCTCCAGCAAGGCTCTGGGGCAGGCAGGACATTGCAGGGGATGCAGTGAGCAGTGTCATCCCTGGGCACTGGGACAGTCCAAAATATAAAAATAAATTTTGTGAAACCAGCTCTGGGCTGAATGTAACATCAGCTGATCACTGAGAGGCACAGAGAGGCGTTACCCTGCACAGGGATGCTGCCCAGCCAAACCACAGCCACTAAGATCAGCTCCTTCCTGCACTGCCTGTGGGTAACTATTCCATAATTATTCCCACAGGATTAAGTGAGGCTGCTCTCACATTCTGAGTTAATCACATCCAAATACCTGCACAAGCCAACATAAATTTTTATCTCTTACTTGTTCCACTGCCAAAACATTTCCTTATCAGAGAGGGATTGTCATGCCCACCTGAGGGCAGCCACTGCCCCCATCCATGCCACTGGGGTGGCACACAGGGGTCACCTGCAGGGTGGGAAGCAGAGCACGTGCAGAAGCAATCGAGGGTTGGGGATTTCCTTGTTTTTCCTTTTAAAATAGCTTTATTTATTCATAAGGGAAATAAAGGAGCATCAAGAGTGATGGTTTTAAGTTACACATACACATAAACAAGTTCCTTGTTAAAGCAGAAACAAAACACACTCTTGTGCAATATAGCAAAGTATTTCACACAAATTCCACATCTTACCCCTCCTTATGAAAATGGCATAGCTGGTAAATTAGGTCAAGATGTACCCAGATGAGGGATTAGAGGAGGAGTTCAGGAACAGCTGAAGACACAGACAGTGCTGGAATGGAAATGCTGTTGGGTTACTCTGAACAGCAGGGAAAGTGAGACATCACCAAACCCACAGCAGCAACCCAGAGCAGTGTGTTCCCCACAGCAGGCTCAGGGTCGGGGTTAAACACACGAGTGACAACCCCCTGCAGGCTGTCACAGCTGCAGCACAGCTCCAGGGCAGCTTTTCTTTGCTGGCAAACACTGAAAGAGGGAAAGTGAAGCAAAGCTGCCCTGGTTAGTGCAGTGAGAGAGTTGTGCTGGTGCACTGAGGCCAAGTGGCATCAAACAAAGCCACTTCTCATGTTTGAAAACTCTTGGTGGGGGATAAGCAGCAGCAGAAGGGTTTTAACCAATGCAAACAGCTGCAGAGCTGAAGCAGAACCAACCTGCTCTGAGCCAGAATTTAGGGTTCCTCTGCAATGGGAAGGAGCAGGAGCAACACCATAAACAGCAAAGATAATTCAAAACTAAGAGGACACCAGACACGTCCTGTTCCAGAAAAACTGCTTTCATAATCAACAGTTTGATCCTTCCAGTTTTCTTTAAATGATAGCATTGTATTTGCCATTGGGCTGGCTAATCCTAAAATTCACCACTCACTGGCATTGAAACAAACACACCATCAGACCAAAAACACTAGAACACAAAAAAACAAATTTACATATCCATTCAAAGCAATAGTTGGGACTAATAAATACATACTTGTGCCATTTGGGGAACTCAGATCTCCAGAGTAAACAAAAGACCTCAAATAAATCCCAGCTACTCAGTAGTAACTGATAAAGATGAGTAATTTTAAACACTGAGACCTCTTGAAATCCCATCTTATTTGGTGTGAGGTGAATATGGGAGAATGACAGATTTTCTCAGTCTGAGAGCAATAGCTTAACAGTGTGGGCTAATTACAAAATGTCATTTTCCTTAGCCCTAGAATTACAGTGAGTCAGCCTCTGGCAACATCCCCTTTAGTTCCAGTTTTGTTATGTCCCCCACATCTCCAGAGCCTCACACTGTAGCAAATAATAAAATCCCAAGACCAGAGAAGGAAAAATAACCAAGATTTCAGTGCATAATTTTTGCAAAGGGCAGGGGCACAGTGAAGTGACAGCTCAACATACTTTTGT